TAATTTGCCTGAACCCCGGGGGTTCATAAATTTCACCCTGAACCAGGGGTCCAGAATAAGGACGCTCTTTTTTGATATATCAAACTTCATGTGACAAAATATTATTTTTTTGATGCATCTATAAATAAAACAATTATAACATATCAAAAAAATGACCATTTTTGTCACACGTATTTGATATATCAAAAAAATAACCATAGGTGTCTCAAAAACGATCTTTAGCTTATTAGGTGGCCAGATTTGTGATCTTAAGACATGATAAATAGTGATGGCATTTACTATCTGGACAATGATGATGGTATTTTACATGATCACTGTGTGAATTCTCTCATCACACTTCATATTTTGCTTTCAGAGGTTTTATAATGTCAAAAATCAACTTCCACCAGGCTGGAATGATGAAGGGTGATGAAAATTATGCCATTGATAAACTCGATTTTAAGAGATCATCAACAACAGCCAGATTGCTGAGCACTGTTACGGGCCAATATTTTCTCATATAACCCAAAAAATATAATTATTACCTTCCAGTCTCGTGCAACAGAAGTTTTTGTGAAGTATCTGGAAACGTTTGTTGAAAAGAAATTAACTATGGTTTTTTTTTGTTAACTAATATATAGTACTTCTAGAATCCCTGAATATCAAGATATAAATAACATTCTCGTTCATTCTCGTTCATTGAGATCTATTTTTTATATTTTCGTGACGATGACAATATCAAATAAAGTTTGGCCCGAATTTTGGATTCTATTTTTTTATCAATATAAAGATTTTCATAAATAGCATCCTTAATAAAATATAAAATAAATTTTTTCATTTCTTCGCGTACAATTGGAAATAATTTTAAAATATCATATTGTATTATAACATTCTATTATTCTATTAGATTTCTTATTAAAAAAAATAAAAAAAAAAGAATAATTATTTACGTAATTCATTTATCAATAATCCCTCCTTCACTTATACGAAATTGAAATATTTTATTATAGCCTGGTGGTGTGATCAACCTTCCATAAAACCAAGGTTGAATCAATAATTCTTTTCTTTGTGTATCATCACCATCACCACCACCTACTCCACCTCCGCCATCACCTCCAATATTTATTATTTCTTCGGGATTTATTAAATATTGTGGTAAAGGTTGCTTGGCTAAAGCGAATCGATATTTAACAAATGATTGCCAAGCCGGTGGTGCAATATTGATATAACATAATTCGAGTGGAATCGATTGAACGGCATTATTATTATTATTATTATTATTAATATTTTGATTATTCATCATTTTCTTGGATGATATTCCATTTGTTGATATGATGATTACCTTCGTTACTTGAATAACTTGTTTTAATGCTTGAACATAATAATATGAATTTTTTTGTTTCCACCTATTATTACTATTATTATTATTGTTGTTGTTGTTGTTGTTGTTATTGTTATTGTTATTGTTGTTGTTATTGTTATTGCTATTGTTATTGTTATTGTTATTGTTATAATTATTATCACTATTTATCATCTGATCAAGTTCTTCAACTTTATCTTGCCAATAAAATGAATTAATTGGATCAATCATTAAGAAAATAAATTCGTATCCTTCCTTTTGAATACATCCCATAATATATTCAGGTAAAGTCAATAATGTCGCATAAAGTGATTCGGAATTTGGTGGTTCAAATATATGAAGTTTATTTAAAGAGCATCTGACAATTGTTTTAATTTCATTTTCTGTTGGAACCCATTCCAATTTCACATCATTATTTGTGTTTGTTGAATGATACTGATACTTCTTTTTTTCTTCTTCTTCTTCTTCACCAAAGAAAGGTGATGGTGGTGATAATGATGATGATGATAATGATGATGATGATGATGATGATGATAATGATGACTCATGTTTATATGTTTGTCCCCTTTCTTTAGCTGTATCACTTATTCGTTGTATTATATAATGTAAAATCATTGAATAAAGTCTTTGAATTTTAAATTTTCCATCTAAATCAAAAAATATCACTCCTTTTCCTCGACCATATAATTCAATCGAAGAAGAAGAAGAAGAAGAAGAAGAAGAAACAGTAATGTTACTATTACTATTATTATTAATATTATTATTTGATCGAGTCCAACGAGGTGGAAGAATTGTAGTAAGAATCATGTGATATAGAATGGTAGTTTTACCACTACAAGCTGGTCCATAAAATTCGATAACATCACCACTTTGAAGTAGATGATGATGAGAATGATGATTATTATTAGTATTATTATTATTATTACGCGAAGGAGGGGTGATATTGGTTGATGAATTCCGGATATAATTGGTAGAATTATTTTCATTAACTTTTAAAATAATATTATCAAGAAAAGAAAGATGAAAACTTTCATTTCGTGAATGATTATCATTATTATTCAGAGAACGACGTGACTATAAAAAAATATTTAATTATTAATAAATAATAATAATAATAAAAGATTAATAATAAAAAAAAAAGATGATGATAATTATAATTACTTGAGAAGTTGATTTTTTTGGTGTAAACATTTTTGTTAGCCTTTGATTTCTCGATTTATTTGATTTCTTGATTTATTCTTGATGTTGATGATTAACCTTCGGAATCATTCCAAAAAAAGATCTTTACATCATATTATCTTGTAACACGACAAATATTGTAATTATATATATATAAATGATAAAGTAAAAAAAAAAAAATTATTATCTGAGAAGGAAGAACCCGAAATATTTTTATTCGTCAAAATTATTATTATTCCGTTACTTTCAATTGATTATATTTTTTCTTTAGTGTTGCGGTACTTTGTTTAACCACTTGTCTATAATCTTTACAAGTTCCTAATAGCTTTCCTACTATTTTCTCTAATTTTCTATAATTTTTTTTTATTCGTTCACCTTTACAATAGTTTACTATAAGTTAACAAATCAATAAGATCTTTTGAATTATCTGAAACATCAACATCAATAAGGAACTCAATTCAACAATTCAAAATTTGAATATAAAAGTTTTTATTTGATATTTTTTCAGATATTTATTAAAATGCCAGCTAGTAATAATAATAATAATAATAATAATAACGAAAGTAAATATATCAAAGAAGTATGGGCAGAGAATCTGGAAGAAGAAATGGCAGTACTTCGTGATCTAGTAGAACAGTATCCCTTTCTCGCAATGGTATAGTTTACTTCCTTATTTTATTTAAATAAAAAAAAAAAAATAATGATTTTTTTTTTAAAAATAATAACATTTTATCTAATGGAACTTAGTCGTGTGATATATGCCCACTTCATAAATGGTAATCTCTATGATTCGATACTTTACTACATGAATATACCTTTCCCCTCTTTCCCCCAAAATATATATATATATATATATATATTTATATAATAATTTTTAATAACAGGATACCGAATTTCCTGGTGTGGTTGCTAGACCGATCGGAAATTTTCGAACAAGTTCAGATTATCATTATCAAACACTTCGATGTAACGTTGATTTGTTAAAGATTATTCAATTAGGAATTACGTTTGCAGATGAAAATGGAACTTTACCACGAGATACTTGTACATGGCAATTTAATTTTAGATTTAATTTGGCGTGAGTGTTTTTTTTGTTTTGAAAGAAAATGGGAAAATTATTTAAGTTTATATAATTTTTTTTTTTTTTTTAAATCGGTAACATTTTTTTTATTTATTAATTTTAGAGATGATATGTACGCTCAAGATTCAATTGATCTATTGACAAAGTCGGGAATTGATTTTAAACGACATGAAGATTATGGAATAAATGTCGACCATTTTGGAGAATTGTTAATCAGTTCAGGTTTCGTGTTGCTGGATGATGTAAAATGGATATCTTTTCATAGGTAGAATATTATTATTATTATTATCATTTATCTATTTTTTTGTTGTTATAAATTAGTTAATTAAATCATTAAATAACAAATATTTATATATTTTTTAAATAGTGGTTACGATTTTGGCTACCTTCTGAAAGTTCTTACTTGTTCTCCACTTCCAGCTGAAGAAACCGAATTCTTTGATCTTCTGAAAACGTATTTCCCATGTATATATGATATAAAGTATCTTATGAAAAGTATTAAGAATTTAAAAGGAGGATTACAGGATATTGCTGATGATTTACAGGTAATTTTTATATATTAAAATTTTAAATTTAATTTGTTGAATTCAGTTTGTTATTAATTCTTATGGGTAAATTCGATTTTTTTTTTATCATTAGGTTTCTCGAATTGGGCCACAACATCAAGCTGGTAGTGATAGCCTTTTAACTGCTACCACATTTTTCAAGATGCGTCAAACGTTTTTCAACGATAAAATTGATGATCAAAGATTCTTGTACGTTTATTTCTTTTCTTTTTTTTTTTGAATAATTTGAATAATTTGAAATAATTTGAATAATTTGAAATAATTTGAATAATTTGAAATAATTTGAATAATTTGAATGAATAATGAATTAAAATAACTAAAATAATTAAAATTAATTTTCAGGGGATATCTTTATGGTCTTGGGAGTGGTATTTCTACCCCTAATGTGACAAATATCACGATTGGAACTCCACCGATCACAAATATCACAATTGGAACAAATGCAGTTGCAATCATTAATAGTTCATCATCTTCAACGTCATCATCTGAAAATAATAATAATTCATCACCAGTTCCTTCTTCTAGTCAATTGATCACAACGACGGCTTCAACTACACCAATTAATTCCGTTACAACAACACCCAACAATAATAATAACAACAACAACAACAACAACAACAACAATAATAATAATAATAATAATAACAGCAATAACAATGGCAATAATAATAACAATAACAATAATAACAATAACAATAATATATCAATTTCCAATAATGTATTAACTTCCAATCCAACAACACCCACCAATTCTTCAATTAATACTTCAGCCAATACATCCAATAATAATACACCTGTTGCAACTACTAATGGAAAAGTGCATAATAGGGAAATCATTCCTGTCAATAATAATAGCAATAATAATAATAACAACATCAATAATAATAATGGTACTAGTAGTAATAATAATAGTACTAATAATAATTCCCCCGTTACAAACACTAATGGTACGACTACCCCAATAAACAATAATTAAAGGTTATTATGTTTTCATCTTTGTTTATTTTTTTATTTTTACTTTTTTTTTTTATTTTTATTTTTATTTCTTATATTTTTTTTTGAGGAAACAAGAAAATTTTAGAATTAAATATTTTAAATTATTTAAATTATTATTATTTAAATTATTTTAAATTATTTAAAATTGTATATGTGTATGTGTGTGAGAGATTCGAAAGGCCAAAAACAAAATACAATCATCATACTAATAGAGAAAAAAAATTTTTATTAAAAATGCTTAAAAAAAATCATTTTATATTATAAGGATATCTATCTATATCTATCTATCTATATATCTGATTTTATATTTTCTGAAATTTTACGTGTTTATCCAAACCAGTAGTTTATATGTACAAAAGAAATTTTCGTAATTGTGACAGTAAAAAAAATTATTTAAAATTAATTAAAATTTCATTTATTCATTTCTCATTCAACTAAAAAAACCCATTTATTATTTTATTGTTGATTATGAAACAGATGATGATGATGATGGCGATTGTTGTTTAATCTTCATATTTACAATTATTTTATCTCTATTTTTTATTGATTTCATTTCTACAATTTCAGGTGATGATGCAACTTTATTCTATAAAAAAAAATAAATAAAAATAAATAAAAAAAAATGAAATAAAATAAATAATAAAATGAAATAATAATCAATAATAATAATGATAATAATAATAATAATAAATAATCAATGATAATAATAATAGTAATCAATACATACCCATTTAGATTCTTTTTCTAAAATTTCACTATATTTTCTTACATTTTCATTAGTAAGAAACCATTTTTCTTCTTCTATTGATATTGATTCTATTTTATCACCATCATCACTGCTGTTACCACCAGTAAAATCTTTATTATTAATTACACAATATTGAAACTTCAAAGATAACCATTCTTTTTTATTAACTATATCATCAATGTTGTTGTTGTTGTTGTTGTGGATGTAATTTTCTTTCTTACAAAGTAAAATTACAATATTTAAATTGGAAATTGAATATGAATTTTTAAGTATGTTTGTTGATGAATGATAAATTTTTAGAATTGATTTTTTTGTTGTTGTACAAGATGAAACATCAGTATCATTATTATTAATGGTAGAAAGATTTTCTTGGACGGTTGTCTATTTTTTTCGAAATTTCGAAATTATAATTAAAGTTGATAGATTTATAGATAGATAGATAAATATATATGTATATTAGAGAGAAATATATCAAAGTTATAAAAGGATTAATAACTCACACAATTCTCTTGAAAATCAATCTCAATTGAAGGATGAAGATAAATTATTTTATCATCTTCATTATTTGGAATTTTTTGAAAATGATCATAAATTATCGTAACAAAATTTATGTTTTGATAAAATTTTATACGCTGAAAAATTTGTGAATAATAATAATCATCGATGATATTAATTGTTGTATTATTATCGTTGTTGATTAGAGTTGAGGAGGTCATTTTTTTAAAGAATTTCAAAGTTGAGAAAAGAATATAAATAACTTAGATAATCATGTTACACAATCGAAATAATTTTATTTTTTAGTCATTTTTTAAAGGTATGAATGTACTGTATGTGTTTTTTTTTTTTTTGAATCGTAGTCCTCTTTGTTCTATGTAACCAAAAATAAATGCAATGACCCGCACAGAAGTTTGTACAATCCACGTTATGAGTAATATAAATGTAAAAAAATTCCAATGAAAATTAAACTAAAAATTATAAAAATTTTAAAGTAAAATCCATTTCTTCTCCTCCTCCTATTCCTCCCTCTCCTACTTCTCCCCCTCCTCCCTCTCTACCCTCACCTTCATCAATTTCCATTCCTATATCATTTTCCATATCTTGTAAACCCAAACCACCCGCCACCACAATAATATTATCTAATTCTTTTTTAATAATTTTAGCTGCATTCATCCAAATTTCATATTCTTTTTCTTCTCCATATGTTATGGTGAAGAAAGGAATATCACCAGAAGTTATGCCCATATTTCGCATATTTCGAAATTGAATGCGTAATCTAACTTGAATATTCTTTATTATTATTATTATTTATTTATTTATTTATTTATTTATTTATTTATTTATTTATTTATATTTATTTATATTTATTTATTTATAAAGATTAAAATTAAAAAATTGATTAATTTTCATTTTTTTTTAAATTATATACATATAATATATAATAAATACACATATATTATATATATAGAAAAAAAAAAACTTACATCTACCAAGGCAAAAAATTTCTCTGCTAATTTCTTAAATTCCTCTTCTTGTTGAGTTTTGGTTAATTTTTCGGTTAACTTTTCTGTGGAAGTTTCATCACCACCATCATTATCATCATCATTATTATTTTCATTATTATTATTATTTTCGTTATCAATATTATTATTATTGTTATTGTTTTCATTATTATTATTATTATTATTATTACTTTCATTATTCTCATTAGTTTCAGTGGAAGAAATTTGTTGTCTTCCATCTAATGCTAAACCCATAATTGCTTTTCCGGCAGTTTCCACAAGTTCAACAATTAACTACATGCAACATATAATATTTAAAAAAGAGTATATATATCAAAGTGTGTTGTGTGTATGTGTATGTTTGTAAAAGAGTGGTGTATTGTATGCGTGGAGTGTATGAAAAGAAGTCATACTTTTTCGATGGCCTCTAAATCTCTTATTCGTAGAGCACTCTGCGGTATTGAACTTGAAGGCATTGAACTCGAAGGTATTTGCTCGTCTGTTTTTTGAAAAAAAAACCCAAAAATTATCAAACCGAAAATAGAAAAAAAAATCGAAATAAAAACATCGTTATTTTTACCAATATCCATTTTTTTTTTTTTGATTTTTAAATTTGTAAATTGTATTATATTTATACGAATATCACATATGGTGTAACATCATTAAAGACTAAATATAGTAAATGATATAAGAAATCAACAATTCATTCTCTTTAAAAAAGCTTTAAATCTAGATTCTAATGAGTACCCCTATGGAAATCGATCTACCCGCTGGTTCAAAAGCTAGTGGAAAAGCTAAAGACACAGGAAAGAAACGTTTTGAAGTGAAAAAGGTATATGTATATTCAAAATAATTTTTAAAAAAAAGAGGAAGATTACTTTTTCTGTATTATCCTTCTTTATAAATTAAATATTTAATAATAATAAATTTTAATAAAAAAAAAAAAGAACTATATTAATAATTTTTTTTTATTTTATTTTCTTAGTGGAATGCGGTTGCATTATGGGCATGGGGTTAGTTTTTAATTATCCCAATATCTTTTTGTTATTATTATTATTATTATTTATTATTATTTTCAAAGAAACCAAAAAATTTTAATAGCTTTTGATTTTTCTGTAATGTAGATATTGTGGTAGATAACTGCGCAATTTGTAGAAATCATATTATGGATTTATGTAAATTAATATCTTTATATTATTTTTTATTATTTAATTATTATTTAATTATTAATTAATTATTAATTGATTAATAGGTATTGAATGTCAAGCGAATCAAGCTTCAGCAACTAGCGAAGAATGTACAGTGTAAGTTCTTTAGACAAGATTTGGATTTTTAATAATTTTTTATCAATGAATAATATAATAATAATATTGATTTCTTTTTTAATAATAATAATAATAATAATAATAAAGAGCTTGGGGAATTTGTAATCACGCTTTTCATTTTCATTGTATATCACGTTGGTTAAAGACTCGACAAGTATGTCCTTTAGATAATAGAGAATGGGAATTCCAAAAGTATGACCTTTTTTGTTTATTTTTTTTTTTATTTTTTTTTAAAAATATTTTCTTTTTTAATATTTTTATTAAATTATTCCTTTTTTATTTTTAAAATTATACAGATATGGACGATAAGCAATTAGATTTCTACTTAATTACTTCTTCTTTATAATTTTTTTCTTTCTCTTTTTTTTTCTGTGTTGATAATAAATAATGAAGGAATAAGTTATTTTCTCAAATACAATATGTAATTAAATATATTATATTAAAAAATTTTTCTTTAAACCTTCAAATAATAATAACTCTATTGGAATATACACATCTTTTCTTAATAAATGCGAAGACAACAACATAAATAAATGTTTATTATCGTCAATCTTCTAATTTCTATCAAACCAAAATACTGTACACTAACTAACTATATAACTCTATAGAAACTAGTTATAGAAATAAAAAAAATTAAAGAGATAAATAATTTGTTAGTAAACCAATTACAATATAATAAAGATTTCTTTGTTTCGTTCATTTTATTATTATCATATTCAGGTGTCAAGTGTCCTCAAAATTTTTTCGGAAAGTGAAGAAATTCGTTATTTTTTTTTTATTCATCGTTATATTATATAATATATATAGGTATCTCTCTAAATTTTATATAAAAGAATGCTTTACCTATAAATCGCATAACTCAATTCAAAATGTTAAATTCTTCCCTTCAAGGATTTTATGACTTGGTCCTTTTAAGATTTTTGCCATACGAGCGGATTTCTATGATTATTGAAAAGTGCTGATCAATCAGTTTTATCGTATAATTATAATTGGTATAATATAGATCATCCAATAAGAATGTAATATATTAGCCAATAGAAATATATTGATTATTAAATGTCCGAAACTTCAAAAAATAAAAAAATAATTATTCATGAGAAAAAAAAAGGTTTAGTGTGGAAACATTGGACTGTACTTGTAGATGAAAATGATGAAAGTAATAAACCGCATCCTCATGTTAAATGTAATTACTGTTCTAAAATTTTTAATTGTGAAATTGCCACTCAAATACAAGTCCATCTTGATAAAAACTATAAAGGAGCACCTGATAATGCAAAATCGAAGAAAAGGACAAATCCATTTTTTAACAATGAACAATCAAATGAACAATTAAATGAAATCAGCATGTCTGTATCTACAATTAATTGAAGTCAAAAAAGAAAAAAAACAACCACAATAGAAAATTTTGTTGATTGTGTAACTGAAGAAGAACAAGAAAAACTTGAATTTATATCCTTCTTTCAAATTATCTAATAGAAGAAAACTTGCAACTGAATTTTTAGACAAGGTTTTTGAAGAAGTGAAAGAAGAATCTGATAAAGAAATTTTATTAGCACAAAATTTATGTATGGTTTCTAATGGCTAGTTAAATATTAATCAAGAATCAGTATAAAATTTTATAGTTTGTACTTCCAAACTATTTTTTTTGATGTTACATATTCAGGAGAGGAACATACAGCTGAATAAATTGCAAGTGAAATAATTCAATAAATGAAAATTATTGATATTAAAAAGTTTTTAGCTATTATCACAGATATAGCTAATGTAATAAAAGCAGCATGGCAAATTATAGAACAGGAATATCCTAATATAATTTGTTTTGGCTATATTCTCATATTATGAATCTTTTAATCAAGGATATTATAAAAATTAATGAAGTGAAATCTGTAGTAGATGATGCAAAAATATTACAAATATTTTAAATCACACACATAATAAATGACAAAATTTAAACATTGTTACAGAATGAAATTATCATGATAGCATATAATACTATACCTGCCACCCAAATTCAAAATTCAAATGCCAAAATCCCAAATCCCAAATCCCAATCCCAAATCCCAAATCCAA